GAAAGGCATCTCCTGTCAGCCGGCCTCTGAGTGACAGGGCAGAGGGCTCGCACCACCGCACGCGCACACAAACCCCCTCACACATACAGCCCCCCGCGCCGTCATGCACAGCCCTCCTGCACACACATGTGCACACGCAGAGCAGCCCTCCTACAGAGCACTCACGGAGCCCTCCTACACATACACATGTACAGCCCCACACGCACACTTGTGCACTGCCCTCCTACATGCGCACAGAGCCTTTCCTGCACTCAGCCCTGACACGCAAGGAAATACTGCAGCCCTCTGCGCACACTTGTGTATGGCCCTGCACACACAGCCCTTCAGCACATCTGTGTGCATGCATGTGAATGCATGCGTAGGCATGCACATACAGCATCCTCCCCATGCATGCGGAGGACGGGGGGACATGCAGGACAGCCCCATGCACAGCAGCATGTCACATACTTGAGGCCCTTCGGGCACAGCCCCCTCACACACACATATTCCCACTCGTGCTTCCCTCACATGCACAGAGCCGCCCCCTAAGCATTTAGCCTGGTGAGTCTGAGCTGGCAGAGCCTGTCTTTAAACCCCTTCCCCTGTCCAGGGGGTAACTATCTCTTTCGTCTGCAGTTTCCAGCAGAATTGGCCTCTAGTGCATTTTTATTCCCTTTCTGTTGGTGCAAATGGATGTTTCTGAGGGAGGTTCCTAAACATGCAGAGAAGCTTTGGCCTGAGCCTGCGTTTACCTGGCAGGAGCACCAGGAGCACGGGCAGGACTGGCATGGATCCTGCTTAGCTGAAATAGAGTTTCCACGGGCGACCAGCGCTCACACGTCCAGCTCATGGATTTAACCCTCCAGGCTGAACCACAACAGCAGCTGCTTTCCAGGGCCCATATCCATCTCTCCTCATCGCCTAAGGAGATCCAAGCAAAATCAAGGCAGTGCTTAAATTTCTGACACTCTAAAATAAAACAATCCGCCTTATATACATATTAACTAAAGAGGTTTAGACACTGGCTCCCTTTTGCAGATGCTGCTCTTGCTCCTCACTGGCCACCCCTGTTTTGCTGCCAGCGGGTGCAAGGTCAGGCCGTGGGTCGGGCTGCGAGCACTGGGGAGCACGAAGCGCACGGCTGCCCCGGCCCGGCCGCATCTGCCTCGCGGCGCTTCGTGTCCAGAGCACCAGCGCCGGCTTCAACCCGGAGATTTACGGCGTCCCGTGTGGGGTCAGAGGCAGCCGCGAGCTGACAGCTCCGGGTGCCCCCTGCCCTCGACAAACAGGCTCAAGTGCCAGTCATGGCTGTAAAATCGAGCCGGTGCGGGATCACCCAGGGGCAGGCACACTCCACCTGACACTGGATGACAGATGATGCTCCTGCCATCCATCCTCAGGCCCAGGGCGAGCGCCGGCCATGGCCGCGGCCTCCTGCTCGCCCCACCTCTGGGCATGGAAGGGACTCAAGCAGCCCATGACAGCAGCCAGGGACTGGGCAGCATCAAGGCTGCTGGGCTCATTCCATCCTATTGCTGCCTCCAGGCTCCCGGCTGTGACTTGTTCCTAGCAGGGAAGTCTGCTGCTTGTGTAGAGCCTTCTTCCAGCTCACCAAGGAGTGACCTATGTCTGCATGAAGAATGAAACTTGCCTTCCCCCCACCCAATGCTTTTTTTTTTCCTTTTCTCTCTCTCTCAAGTAAAAAGCAAATCTCTCTGAAAAACTTCATAAGGAAATCCAACACAAATCTACCTGCGTATTTGCTCCTTTGCAGGCCATCTGAGCTAAATACCATGGTCCAAGGAGCAAGGAGTCGTCTTCTTCCCCAGGCACTGAGCCTAAATGGCCTGTCTGGCTCTCCTGCGGAGCAGCCTGGTGCTCCTGAGCCCAGCTGAGCCTTGGCCTGAGGTGGCATGAGACGAAATTCAGATAGTTGAGGATCCAGAGAGGCCCCAGCAATTGCAGCTAGTCATCACGCTGAATCCTTTGAAGGACCAGCCTGGCCACAAGCTCAGAGTCACCTCCACACTCATCCACAAGACCCTGCTCATGGCCACCAAAGTGCTCCCATCAGGTCGTGTCGCAGTGCCCCGGTGCTTGGTTTATTGCCCTGATCTGCAGAGTCGGGGCTGGGCAGTGTGTGTCTTCCTCACAGAATAGCCTATGTATTTCATGTGCTTAGGTGTTAAATGCTGGGGACGGAACATCAAACACCAGATATCCAGGCTCCTCTCCCCTGCAAGCTACCCACCGGGTGGCCAGGGCTTGGACAAGACACCTCTTGTGGAAACACCACTCCGCCTGTGCCCCCTGGAGCTGTGGCCAGGTCAGGGCCTCTCCTTCCCAGACAGCCCCTCCTAAGGGTCCCATCTACCTTGCAAAAGCAGCCCGGGCCGAGGGCAACGTCCAGGGCAGGAGCTGGGATTGCAACCCTGCGGTGCCTCCATGGCCCAGTGCTCACGTCCACACGATGGCGACAGCCACGTAGGGCTGATGTCCCCAGAGGAGACCCAGAGCTGTGCCCAGGGCACAGCCTGGCAGGGACAATTCAGCAGGCACTGTGTGCCGAATTTGCTCTTCTGCTTAGTGCCCCGAGCGCAGCCCCAGGACTTCAGCTTGGTGGCACCCACTGAACACCCTAAAACCCCAAAGGCCCGACATCTATTCCCTCGGCTATTGCCACCCTGCTGGCTGGAACTGTGCTTCATTTTCCCTTTTCTATCCTGTTTCTGCTGCATTCACTTAGCCTGGTGAGGATTTATGCATTAATATCACCACGCTGATGATCCACAGGGCTGCAATTAGAGGATAGGAGAGGAGAGCAGGCAAGGGCCTGTGAGACCCCCCGAAGAAGGCTCTGCCTGTGGCAGCATAAAGCAGAGGCTGCAGAGCAGACCCAGCTCGTGGGAAGGGCTCTCTCACCTGTACCCCTCAGCACTGCCTCCCCCTGCCCACCACTCTCTCCCTGGACTGACACCCTTCACCCTCCAGTTCCCAGCTCCACCTTCCCACTCCGGTTCCCTCCACGGCACCTCCCCTGCCTGGTCCTCACCTCAGAGACGGGACAGGTCAGGAATGGTCCATGGATGCCCCTCACCACTACAGTGCAGGAGACCACAGAGCAATGCCTCCAATCTACGCAGCAGGTGAAGGCCAGCAAGGTGTAGCTGTTCTCCACTTCTCCCTGAGCATCAGCCTAAAGCCTCCCGACCAGCCTCCCCAGAGGCCAGGCTGATCCTATGCACTTCCTTTAGACAGGTAGAGCCAACAGCAGCAAAGGCAACGCTGCTAGGGGGGCAACCAGTTCCAACTGGGGCAAGCGAAGGCTTCAGAGCGAGGGACAGCCAGCACAGCACCTGGAACAGAGTTGCCTTGAGCATCTCTTTACTGGGGAGAGGAGCAAGCAGGAGAGGGGCCAGGAGGCAGGGCTCGCGTGGAGGCTCCCCAGCAGAGGCCATGTGAGTCCTCTCCACCCTCGCGCTTCCCAGGCGAAGCCCCCGGCCCTGCCTGCTGATCCTTCACAGAGGGCCGCAGCATTAATGGGGCGTTTCGGAGGCAACAGCAGCTCTGCATGGCCGAGCGGCGCTGCGCAGCCCGGGGCGATGCCGCCGCTCGCCATTAACCCGGCCTCCCCCAAAGGGAAGGAACCTGGACAAACCCCAGCGGGATGTGTTACATGGGAATGACCTTGTCTGCGCTACCCATAGCGCCGAGGTGGCCCCTGGGGCAAGCCAGGAGCGGGGAGGGGAGACAGAGCCTGCTCACAATTAATTCTCCTCTCTATTCAATTACCAGCAACAGGTTTAAGGCATGTTTGGTGGGAACGCCAGAGCAGGAGACCGCCCCACGCTCTGCTCCCAGCCCCAGGAGCTGCCCAGGCTGCACAGCACTGACTGAGGGACGAGGGGACCCCTTTGGAGACCTGTGGAGGTTTGTTCTCATGGCTTTATTTCAATAAACCTGCTCCCTCCTCTGCCCTTTGGAGGCCTTTTCATCACCTTCCATCCATCCTGCCCATGGTTGTCTGGAAATGTGACTTTTGCCTTCATCATTTTAGGCTGTGTTCCTGAAGTCCTAGTGTTAATATTGTCTCTGTCTTCGTTGAGCACCAGCTCCAACTACACATACGTGCACATGCTCTTTGAAAAGCACCCTGCCATGATTACCTACACCAGCACCAGCCTCCTTGCAGGCTCCTTCCCAGAGAGTGTGTCCATGCAGCGTGGACACCTCCTGCTCTTTCAAACTCCACTCAATTCAATGAGAAGACCAGGCTGGTTTTGTTTTGTGCAGCATGCTAAAGGACATGGGACTGCAGCACAGAGCTGAATGTCCCCTCTGGTTTGGGCTGTGTTGACAGAATCCTGGTGCAGGAACATGGTGAAGAAAGAGGGGATCCTGGCCCATTCCATATCCCAGTTAGCTACCTACCCAAAGCTGCTCCAGGATGATGATGGCTCAAGTCTCCACGATGTCTGGTTGCTCCTTGGCCTCAAGCAACGCCACTTGGGCAGCCAAGTGCTGACTTGCAGGCAGCAGTATTGACTCGCGTGGATTAGAGGACTCCACATGCTGGGCTTGACTTCTCAGGGGTGATTGCAAGGGCAGCTCACGTCTCTCAGCTGTCAGCACAGCTGGACAAGCCAGGAGCTCAATGTCCTGCAGTGCTGCTCTCCCAAACCAGCCCTGGGGCCGGACATGTTATTGGGGGCCTGCAGGACTCATCCAAAGTGTCAGGCAACGAGACACTCAGGTGTAAGCAAGGTGGGTGACTCGGCCTTGATCCGAGTGGTCGAGGTGCTCTCTGGCACAGTGAACTGAACCACTCGTCCCCCAGCAGAGCAGGAGCCCACACAGAGCACGGTGGATGCACAGAGGGGTTTTCCATTGCTGCACTGAGTCTGTCTCACTGCTGCATTTGGCTCCAGCATCCGCACTTGGCACACAACAGAGATGCAGTGCAGGGTTTGGAGGTGAGCCAGGTGTGTGGGTAAAGACCTGGCAGCGTCAGGAGACTGCAGGGAAGGCTTTGCTGGGGAGGTGCAGTCCTGAGCTACAAGTATCTGCAAGGAAAGAGAGGGGTGCCTTGCAGGTTGCCCAGCACAGGAAAGGGTCCTGCAGCATCCCTGCATTTCTGTGCAAAGCTGCTGGGCACCAAACGGAATGGCAAGTGAGCAGCGTGCCTTGGAGATGGCCACAACACGCATGTGCACAGAGGAGTGACGTGCATGGAGACGTGCGAGGGGATGTGCACATGGCGTTTAAGTGGCCCTGCTTCATTCCTGACCCCACTGTGCTGGCCAAAGAGAATCTCCTGAAAACGTACGACCCAAGGGATGTGCCAGGTACTAGGAGAGCCCAACCTGAGCATTATCCTCATGGATTTGGCCGAACAGCACCAGGCAGGGCTGGGAAGGGAAAGCAGAGCCAGGCTGGCAGGGAGGGGGCTGCAGTGGCTGTCTGGAGAGGTGGGAGCCATCCCTCAGCATCTGGGCTTGCTATCCTCTCCATGGGGCGGCCTCAGAGGAGATCCAGGGCCATGTGAAGCTGAACCTGGGCACTGCAAAGCCCCCGCTGCGCCCAGCCTGGGGGTGGTTAAACCTAAAGCTAATAACAGTGGGAAGGGGGGCTCCAGGGGGCTGGCTGCCGGCTGTAACTCTACCTTGGTTTGTTTGCTTACAGCATCCACCCCAAATGCCCGTGTGTGTCTCCGGGCCCCTGTGTCAGTGGCAGCTGAACTGCTGACCCCAAGAGTTTGCAAAACACCAGGGTTACGGCCCCTGTGACATCCCAGCACGGCAGAGAGGCAGCTCAGCCTGACCCCAGCCCGGGGAGCAGCCCCAGGACACCCCACATGGCCCTGCAAGACATGGGCAGCGCGTAGGGAGGCTGCAGGGCCACAGTGATGGGACGGGCATACTGCCCCTTGCACCTGCAATGCCCACAGCCCACGGGACCCACCACCACCCCTTGCGAATACTTGTTCCATCCTCACCCTAATCCTGTGGCTCCCGTCAGCCCTGCAGCTCTGTCCCATGTTGGCCTCAGCCTGGTGCAGGCACCTTCTCCAGCTCCTAGGTCCAGTCTCTTCATTGCTCCATGTATCTCTGGAGTGTATGATCCCAGTTAAACCACAGCCCAGACCCTGCGGATAGCCAGAAACAGTGCGACACAGCACCAGGGGCTTCCACCCCACCCCAGAGACATGGCCATGGCACCTACGAGATGCCCCCGCCGCAGTGCAGACACCCTCTGGAGGGTGCATGGTGACAGCTCAGGGACGCGAGCCCAGCAGGGATCAGCCAGACACATGAGTGCACAGGAAGGAACATACCGGATCTGCCCAGGATGCTGCTCCTACTTTTTTTCCCAGGGAGCCCAAATCCGTCTCCCGAGGGCTCACTGAGCTGCTGGACCATCCCGCTTCACTGCTGGGCATCACCATCAAGCAGAACAGACCTGCAGAGATGAGACCCTGTCACCCACATCCTCCTCCGCTCTGCTCCCCAGCACCGCTTGCACCAGCCGTTCGTATCCAGCCCCAGGGACCATGTGCGCTGCAGCTCGGAGCACAAGTCCCTGCTATCGCTGCAGCCATGTGCCCCACAGGAGCACCCTACATCCCCACGGGGCCCAGCACAGCAGCCCGGCTGTTTTGGGACAACCTGTCAGGGAAGCGTGGCCAGCAGTGACAGCCCTGCCAGCACCAGGGACAGCCAGGGCGCTGTGATTAGATTTGCACCGTGGAGGGGTCGGAGGCCGGGCAACCCGCGACCTCCAAGTATCTCGGATGTGGTCGTTGACTGCAGAGTTGCTACCACTGAGGTGACGTGGGGCTGGACGGGACCTTCACCAGGGATGGCTGTCAGGGAGCACAGTCAGAAGGGGTGCTGAGAAGTGGGCATCCGTCACAAGCAGGGATGCTGCCAGCTCCAAGGATGCTCCTCCGCAGCCAGCTCTGCATCCTCAGGCAAGAGCAGCTCCACATTTCACACAGGGGAAGCAGGCACGGGGCTCAAGGCGCAGGGGACCAGCCCCACCTACAGCATGGTCCACGGCTGTGCCTCTCCGGCCATCCTTGCACTGGGGTTTCAGCTTCCGCATTGGAAAATCGCGCAGCCTTCACCAGGAAATCAGCTGCCCGGTCCCGCTCAGCAGAGCCTCTCCCCATGCCCACAGGGAGGCCAGGAAGGCAGTGCTGCCGAGGAAAGCTCAGCTCAGAGCTCTCCTCCCAAAGCAGGGCAGCCCCTGAGACTCCTGGCCCAACCTGGTCCCTCAGACAGGTAGATGAGTCCCATGTTAGGAGCTGCTTGGTGTCCATGGGTGGCCCAAACCTGTGGCCAAGCCATGGGGCTGGTGCAAGGACACCACAGAGCACTCCACTATGTGGGTAGCTGGTCCCATGCTCACATGGGATGTGGTCCACACCAAGCCATGCTGAGGCCATGTTCCTCAGCAAGATGTCTTGGTCAGCACCCCCTGCTGCTCCTGGAGCAGGGAAGGATCCGTCCCTAGAGAGATCAGCGCACAGGGCCCCTAAAGGCATCAGCAAGGAGGGATGCTGAGAGCTGGTCACCTCCCAGGGTGGCACCATGGCCATTGCCCAGGTTGGGGTGTCACTTGACTGCCCATGGGGAGCACTGGGCCATATCCCTGGCGCGGGGAACACACCTATGCGTGCGCCACACAACCACTTCATCTTCCCACTCCTGCCTATTGTAAAAGGCAGCAGCCGCCAGGCCGGGACCCCTACACGGCCCCCTCTGCACCCCGTCCCCCCAGCCCGCCCGTGCCCAAGCTCACCTGCTCTTAGACAGCCCTGTTTGTTTGCCCAAGGTATTTGCAGCCGGGGGCACCTGCTTTGATACCATCAGCTCCGCCAAGGAAGCTGCTCACCTAGCGTGACCCCTGTAATCCCATCCTTCCCATTAAGCGCTGTGTGTGAGCGAGGCCCCCCCAGCCGCCAGCCCGTGCCGCGCTCCCTCCCTCTCCCAGAGCCGGCTGCATCAAGGGAGGACACTGCCGGGAAAGCGGGGGGACAAACCCTTGCTGAGCCTCCCTTCCCCAAGCCCTCTCCTTCTGCTTCACCAACCTGTGCTGTCCCCTTCCCCTTCGGCAGTGGCTGTAGCAGCCCTGCAGGGCCGAGCGCTGCTGCCTCCCTCCGCTCGCCACCCCCAGCCCACAGCTCCAGGAGGACCTTGCTAAAAATGACCTACCTGCCCTTATCCCTCACCCCAAGCCAAGCAGTACCGAGGCCCAGCAGGGAAATCAGCCCCAGTGCCCCTGCACCACGATGGTCCCGTTGCATGGACAGCAGGAGGGTTTGGGGCATCCCAGGAGAGCTGCAAGACCCATCTTTTACCGCCCCGCCATGGGGCTGGGAGCCAAGCCCGGGCTGGGCACAGCCACAGCTGCCCTCTCCCCACCAAGCTCCTCTTTTGCCCTGCTGGCACAAGGTGCTTGTGTGCAGGCCCCTGCCAGCAACCTCACACAGATCCACTGGGAGGAAAAGATTCTGCATCTCTGCTGTCAAAGGTGCCAAATCAGCACAGTCCCCAGAGGCCTCCTCTGGACAAGAAAACCTGCTGGGGACCTCACTGTGCTCGTGACTGCTCCTCCCAGGGACCTCGGGAGCAGGTATCCATGGCATCCCCGGACACCCGGACCGGGAGAAGCCTTGGTGCCGGCTCCCTGTGGTCACAGTGTCTGGTGGGGCAGGCACCGAGGCGGGGGCACACGAGGAGGGCGGCAGGGGGGCGGACCCC